TGTGTCCTCCCATCCCCCCACCATGACACGGGAGCACCCTGGCCCTCCCTGGGCCTCTTCTCTTCTCGATGCGACCTCAAAGCTTTGGAGGCCGTTTGAATGCCGACGACTAGGTAAATTCTGCAGCCAGGACCTCTTTGCCGACCCCCAGACTCATACCCAGCTGCCTGCGAGACGTCCCCCCTTAACTTACCTGGAGCCTCGCCCGACCTTTCTCTACTACTTTGTTCTACCCAGATCTTCATCACTGCTGCTGGCACTGTCTTTCCAGGGGCTCAGCCCCAAGATCTCCCATATAGATGTGCCAGTGGATCCTCTTGGCTTCACCTTGAAATCCATCCGACAGCCTGGCCCCCTCTCACCCCTCTGCCACTACGAGCTGGCCCAGCTCTCCTCCTCTCTCGCCTGGGTGGTGGTTCTTTGCCTGCTCATGCCAGGAACCCCGGAGCTGGAATCCTACCCAGGCAGGGAGAGCATTTTAGGAAGTGATGTAGATCAGGGCAGCCCGGGGGGCCCAGCGATCCTGGGATCGAGTCCTGCATCAGGCTCCCGGCGTGGCCTGCTCCTCCCTCTGCCTGTGTCTCTGCCCATCTCTCTGTGTCTCTCATGAATAAATAAATAAAATCTTAAAAAAAGAAAGAGGAAGTGATGTAGATCATATTAGGCTGCTTCTTCCTCCATGTCAGAGAAGCAGCCAGTCCACAGAGCGGCCCCTGGGGGCCACTTGGTGTGACACCCCCCACCCGTGGCAGGACTGCTGTGTCCACACCTGCCCCTGCTCTCTCCCCAGCCTGTGCACTGTGCCTGCTGTGTCAGCGCATCGCCTCACCATTCCTCCACCTGGATCATGGCCCACCCAAGCCCCCTTAGACACCTGCTCAGATGCCAGTTTCTTCCTGAGCTAGGGCTGCCTCATGCAGAATTATACCTGCTACCCCGCCCCCTGTCTTGATCTGTCTTTCTCATCTCGATGTCTTCTCCAAATGTTTTAAGTCCCTGTTGGAATATTTACTGCTTACTCCCCCCTGCCTGGAAGACGATGAGCTCTGTGAAGGCAGGAGGTTTTTGTTTGAAGATTTTTAAAAATCTTTTATTTATTCATGAGAGACACAGAGAGAGGCAGAGACACAGGCAGAGGGAGAAGCAGGCTCCATGCAGGGAGCACACGTGGGACTCGATCCCGGGGCCCCAGGATCACACCCTGGGCTGAAGGCAGATGCTCAACCGCTGAGCCACCCAAGTGTCCCAGGCAGGAGGTTTTTTAGTTATTTTTAGTTGTTAATTTTTTGTTCTCACTGACACATCCCCGGCATTAGAACAAGGCCTGACCCACAGGGGAAGGTGAATAAACTTTTTTCAAAATGAACCAATCCGAAAAAAAAAAAAAAAGAACCAATCCAGTGAACAGTCACGAATGGTGCACTTTGAATGGTGATGGACGGCTTTGCAGGTGTCCCTGCCCACATTTGTCATCAGAGGGTGTCGGGCCACAGACGCAGCCGGGCGAGTGCCTGAACCGTGGGGGTCACTGGCTGGGACTGTCGCCCTGAGCCCTGTAAGTTCTTGCCACAGCTGCCAGTTTCGCAGCGTGAGCCGACTCCCCGTGAGGCAGCTGGGGTGCGTTTACTGCTTAGTGGGTGTTGTGCCAACCTGTCTGCTTCAGGGCCGCCTGGTCTGTCTCTGCCAGGGGCCATGATGACACACGGGGAGGTGCGACTTACGGGGGTCAGGAGGCCTGCGCCACCCCGCTGGGTGAGGGCCGTGGGGCAGGGCGCGGCGGCTGGGGTGCGGGAAGGGAGAGGCGAGGTCCCTGGCCAGCTGGGGGTCACCGTCCCCAGGGGTCAGGTCACGACGGCCAGCCTCCCAGGAGCGTGGCTGGGCCTGAGACCGCTGAGGGCCACCAGGAGAAACTGGAGCCCAGTTTCAGGCTGCGGACAAAGGGCAATGTACCCAGCAGGTGGATGGTCCCCACCAGTGGGCCCCGCACGCAGGCCCGGGCCGCCGGGGGCCTCCCTCTCCCTTCCACGTCCCAGCCTCTTATGTGCCGAGGTGGAGGGACATACCCCACCCCCCGGGGTGGCACCTGAGCACCACTGGCCCCCTGGAGCTACGGGGAGCCTGGCGGGGGCAGCAATGCCCACCTGGGCTGCGGGCTGTGACGGCTTTGTCTCCAGACAGCAGGTGTTCGGGCCCAAGGGCCCCCCTGGGACGGCCACGAGGTGGAGGTGGGCGCGAGTGTGCGTGTGCCTTCCCAACGGGCGGGACAGAGGTCGAGCTCTAGTTATTTATTTTTTAATATTTGATTTATTCATCATGAGAGACCCAGAGAGAGAGGCGGGCCTGGCCAAAGCCGCCTGCCAGGAGGCCGTGTGGGAAGAGGCCAGGAGGCTGCTGAGCTGGGGGCCCTGCACTCAGGAAGGGGGGGTCTTCGAAATGTCACTGGGACCTTCAGTCCAAGATCCCAGAGTCTGTGAACCGCGCCCCACGTTGAGGTGGAGGCTGCGCCCAGCGCATCTCCGTGTCTCGGAGGCCGGCTGCTGTCTCAGAACACTTCAGCTACTAATTGGTTGTCCTGGAAACCTGCCGTGTAGTCTACACTGGGCTCCGGGTAGATTTACCTGGCAAGGTGAAGTCTTACGTGGCAAGTGTGCTTCTGCATCCCTGGGCCCTCGGGCCTGTCGGGGCTGCCCCTGACGGTGGCTGAGGGGCCCCGGGTTCAACCCACATGGAGGTGGGATCTGGGCCCACGCTTCTGGGCACATGGTGACACGTGTGTGCATTGTGCCTTCTGCTGCAACCTGTCACGGGCTCTTTTGGTGGCATGGGCACACCTGCAAGGCCGCGGGGCCCCAGGTGGCCCTGTCAGAGAAGCTGTGCCTTGGGCTCAGGTCACCATTTCAGGGTGCGGGGCTCCCTGCTTGCTCTCTCTCCCTCCCTCTCTCTCTCTCTTACTCTCTCTCTTCCCCCCTCTCTCTCAAGTAAATAAATGAAATCTTTCAAAAAAATAAAAAAATAAAAAGAACTGGAAGGCAGCCTCTTGTAAGTCCTCCCGTGCCTTGGTTCATTGGTCACCCTAAGCTCACGACTGACTCCCACTTCTCATTATGGGAGGAAGGGTTGAGAGCCGGTTCCCCTGAACTTCGAGCAGTTGGCAGATTGTCGCAGATTGTCGCAGCGGCTGTGGTCGTGAGGACCATCTGTGGACTTGGGGGAAGAAGGGTCGGCTAGGGCTGCGGTGACAAACGCTGCAGCCCGGAGCATACAGAAAGAACCCTGTGTCTTTCCCCAGGGTTCTGGAGGCCAGAAGCCCAAGCTCAATGTCGAGGCCCCTGTGGCTTCCTGGCTTGCAGACCCCACTCCCTGGCCGGGTGAGGCCTGCCCAGAGCTCACAGGCCGCAGGGCGAGCTCTCCATGGGGTCTGCTCCGGCGAGATCAGGGCCCCTCCCAGGACCTCATTAAGCCTCCTTACCTCATAAAGGCCCTGTTTTCAGACACATTCGCCTTGGAGGTCAGAGCTTCAACGTATGAATTTGGAGGCACAAAATCCAGTCCCTTGCTGTTTTCAATCTTTTTTTTTTTATATCTCTTATTTTCCTCTGTTCCTTTGAACTAAATACTATAATGTGTCTTTTGAATCAAGGGCCAATTTAGGAAACTGGAGAATAGAGTGGACATATCACCTTGCATATTTAGAATGACAGGTGTCTGTAAACCAGAAGTTTTGAGCATCCCTAGCAATGTCATTCCACCATAAGTGTGTGTGGGGGGGTTGTGATGTGCTCCCAGACTCTGTCGGAAGTTGTCTTATAATTATCTCCCTGTGACCCCATCATCACTACCTCACCCCCCTCTGCAGGCGAGATTTTATCCTGGATCTTCTGAGAATGCTTAGGTCGAGTCCAGAATAAGAAAAGAAAGGTTAGAAGTAGGTGAGGATATTCCCTTAGACTAAGAGTTAATGTGTAAATGTAATTATAGATGCCTATCGTATCTTATAGACCAGCTAGGCATTAATGGTGGTATTGCCTTTTTTTTTTTTTACTATATTTTGATTGCTAATTTAATAACGTTTGGAAACATTTCTCAAGAATGAAAAATGATGTTACCGGCTCACCTGCTGTCCATCGAGCAAAGGAGCCTTAGCAGGATCTAAACCCACTCTCATTCCTTTCCCCAGCCCACGGAAGGGCCCATCAAGGTCCTTGATCTTTACAGTGCTCAGTGCACATATTGTGATCCTCACAGTGTATTGTTTGGTTTTGCACAGTGAGGGGAGGAAGAAGTCGTGGGTTTCTTTTTCCTTTATTCCTGACATCTTGGCTGAGGAGGGAGAGGAGAGCAGGTCTTGCATTAGACGCTGGAACTCCGGGGAGCCTGGTCTTCACCACTGATGCCCTTACACCCCCCAAGACTGTGAGCACTGACACTCTTCTTTCCTTTCTGACATAAGCCTGCTTCAGAGACCTGCTTATCTTTGGGGTGCTCTCCCCCGTTTACCTGGATTTCCACCTCGTAGTGTTCCTTCCTGGCTTTTTGAGTTCTTCGTTACAGTTATAAACACTTTGTTTTCATGTTCTATCCACTTTTTTTTTTTTTTTTTTTTTAGCTGTTTCGGTCTGAATGCTCTTTCAGGGACCTTGGCTGTGCTTCTGGAAACGGAAGACTATGCTATTTTTTTAATTTTAAAAGCTCCACATCATTTTTCTCTGCTTTCTTTTCACATGGGCACAGCTATATGGTCCTGGAAGAAACTCATTTTGATTGTGAGCCAATTACTTCCTTTTCCACTTAATTTTTTTGGCCTCTCTCTTGAAATGACTACATGGTAATTTGACAAAATGTATGTAAACAGCTGATTACATTACTTGACTTGCTGGGGAGTATTCTTCTCACTGGGATGCACCTGGGCACGAAGTAATAGAAATACATTTAAGAATGAAATTATAATTTTGTTTAGAGTTTGCGTGTTTACGTGTGTAGGTGTGTGTGTTTTCTCCTAGGCTGCTGCACTGAATGATAATAAAGATTCCAGCCAGAATTTCTCGAGACTGTTGAATGGCTGCGTTTACAGCGGTGTACAGACTTTGGGGAAGGAGCTCCTTATGTACTTTGGGCCAAAAGCTTTACGGTAAGATAAACCTGCACAATGCGGCTTATCTCTCTGTGTAAAGATGCGGAGAAGGCTTTTCTTGGGGTTCACTGGATGTCACATTTAATCATGTAGAAAGTACTCCGTTTTTAAGAGAGCTCTAATACAAGAGGTTGAGATTCTATCGTGGAAAGCAATAAGCAGAAGATGAATAAGTTGTGATGTCATCGTTACTTGGAGGACTAGTCAATTTATTTCTGTTAAGAAAAACCCACCGGCAAGACGGGCTTCCAGGAGATGTTAGAGCAGCACAGCTCAGCTTGGCTCTTCCCCACTTGGCTCTTCCCTTGCGTCTTCCCCCGAGTGTTGACTGTATTCGCGACATTAGTTTCTTTATAACTGCTCCTAGTTTGGTTTCAATGTAGCTCTAGATTTTTGTACTTTTGGGTCTTCCTTCTTTTTCTGAAGCCTTGTACAGGATTGGAAACTTACAGGATTCCAGGACTCTTCACCGGAGGCCCCAATTCTTCATTCTTCCACAGAGCTTATGGAAAGCCATGGCTAATGTGTTGGTGATGAAGGCCAACCAATCTCCTACGTTGGCTGACTTAATGATAAGAGTGTTGAAGTGTGGGTCCTTGCCAGAGCATGGTCACCTATTCGATTTTTTTTGCGGCAAAATGAATAAATTTTGAAAAAATTAATATGTCTACCAAACCTCTGTCTTCCCTGACTTTAGCCTAAGTTACGGCAAACCGTGGAGCATGGCAGTGCTCCCTTGAATCTCTCCTAATGTTTCTTGAAAGTATTGAACAATTTCACCTTAAAAGAAAAGCCCTGTTAGTGGCCCCTGTGCTTCTCACCGAAGGTGACTAATGGTCACAGAGATAATAGGACTGCATGATGGTGACTTGCTGCCCCTAATCTACCGCACGTTTGGAGAGCTTCAGAGTTTATTATCATTGCTTTTCCTTTGACATGATCTCTCTTTGTTGTCAGCAGCTGCTGTCTTTGGCCAACAGTGTCACTTGGTGGGTTTTTTTTTTTTGTTTTGTTTTGTTTTGTTTTCTCAGTCAGGAGACGATAACGTCACACACGCTTCCTGGTTCGGGCAGGAATGATCTACTTACTGCAGGTTGCACTGCTGTGGTGGGAGATGGATGTGATTGAGAACTCTCCCCTCTGAACTGAGTCAGACACAACAGGATCCACGTGAAGGCAGTTGAAAACACTGATATGTTATTGATTCTCTGGAGTTAGTTGCAGATTTATTCCTGGAGGATGAGAGGGAGGTTTTTATCAAGCGTTCTCCACCAGACGGATAAAGGGGGTGTCATTTCTCAGTGCAGTTCTCGGAGCTGTCAGGAAGTGTTTCCTGAAGTTCTAAACGAGGCCTATCACTTCTTTAAACTAACTAAACTGTGCCATCCCCGGGGAGTACATACCTCTGTGTATGGATGGGGAAAAGTGTGGTGGCTTGCTTCCTTTCTATTTCCTATGGCCTGAATGACTATTTGATATAATAATTCAAGGTCGGCAGCAGATGAGCTGTTTGAATACAAACCAAGCAACCTAAAATCAACTGCATCCCCTTACACAATTTAATAGAAGTTATATATATATATATATATATATATATATATATATATATATTCCCAACCTACGATTCTTAAGAGAATGGATGACTCTGTCAAAGAAATGTGATCATTGTGTGAGGTTGCAAGTGTGTCAGCAGGAGATAGAAATGTTGTCTTCATTCATGACCTCTTTTTTGCTACCCACCAGGCTGCTCTGCATTTTAGAGAGCACGTACATAGCAGGAACCACACTTAATGCTCGCTTATATCTATCCCTTAATGCCCAGCTTTTTATAGGTAAAATTGCCCTGGATTGTAATGCATCTTACAGGGCAGGCCATGAATCTTCCTGGGATTCATTTGTAATGGAAGTAATACAGACCTAACCCTCTGCAAGAGAATCTGCCATGCAAAAACCCACACTTCAGAGAGGTACAGATTAGAGTAACCATTTCTGTCACTAAAAGATTTATCAGAGTGCTCAAGTGCTCCTAACAGTGCCATTGAATACGAAAAATTATTGGATACGCATTTATTTTTGGAGCACAGTTGCGATGTCACGTGTGATTAATACCCGTACTCCTTCTAAATGCTTTAGAAGAAGCTCGTCATCTGTAATAAAATGGAAATCATCTTTAATTTTTTGGCGGTGTATGGAACAAATACTCATTAGAGAAAACTGAGACATAAGGAACAAACAAGAATAAATCTGTCCATTCACAATCTCACTCCCAAACATAACCCCTGTTAACCGCGGAGGTATATATGCCAGGGCTGTGCGGGCACGTGTCTACAAGTCTGTTCACCCAGACATACCCACCCGGTGAGTGGCTGGTTTTCCATCAAAACGAAGCCAGCCGTTATGTCTTGGACTAACATTTAAAAGATATATTTTTTAAATGAATCTCCCTTTCCAAGACACTTTGCTATGTCCAGTTTGTGATTTATATGACTCCGATGGTTTGCAATGATCCTATTCCGAAAGTGTATCTGCAACATTTTAGAGAAGCTTTAGACGTTAACAATTTTGTAATTTATTGGCGTTTAAGTGATGTGATCCTCTAAACAGATATGCATGAGACACTGTGATGGTTCTTTGTAGTTTGCTAAACAGTCTGTAAGGAATCTCTCCTCGGCTCCTCAAAAGATGGTTTTACAGCTTAGACGTAGTTTTTCTGATCTGTCACATTAATGTGTTAGAAAAACTGAAGTGTGATAAAGGTTCTATATGAAATCATATACTGTAAGAGTGGCCAGTCCTGCCATCTGTCCGCCCAACGTGATCACTTGTCTTTTAGGGACAGCGTTCCTTCTGGAAGCTGGCCATCTGGCCACAATGACCGCAGACGTCCAGTTGACTCTAGCACAATCTTGCTGAACCTTGTCTCTCATACGGAGTCGATTGGGTCAGTGTGGATATTTCCATGAGATGTCTCATCTGGAGCAGAAGAGGGTCAGGCTCTGTCACATAGAGAAGCTAGGGAGTGGAAGATAAAACCAGCTGCACAAAGCAGAGAATCCAAAAGGCCTTTTAGCCCTTCCTTCTGTCCTTTCCTGAGATCCAGCTCTCTCCTACCTGTCCTGCAGCTTGATTCTTCAACCTTCCTTCAGATTCTGTGAGCTCCTAGGTATTCCTTAGAGCCTAAACCTTTTTGGGTTGGGTTTTTATCACCTGCAGTTGAAGAAAACTGACATTATCAAAAGGCACACACTTCCAGTTAGGAAATAAATGAGTCCTGTGGATGTAATGTATAGCACGGGGACCATGGTCTTTCACAGTGCTCTACTGCAGGGTTGCCAGCTGCAAAGAGAGTAGGTCTTAAAAGTTCTCACCACAATAAAAAACTAAAAAAAAAAAAAACAAGAAAAAAAAAAGAAAAAAACTTTGGTAAGTATATTTGGTGACACATGTAAACTAGAGTTACTGTGGTGATCATTTCTCAATATATACAAATATTGAATCGTTATGTTGTACAAGTGACACTGATTTAGTGTTATGTGTCAATGATACCTCGATTTGAGTGAAAGAAAGAAGGAAGGAGGAGAGAAAGAGAAAAGAAGACTAACAACTAAAAGTAATCTATGGACAGAAAAGTAAACATCTTTCGTTTTTGAAATGGTAGAGTTTGAGATTTTTATTTTCCATTTCAGTAACCATGATGCTTTCACATGTAACTGGAGAAATTTGGGAAATCTTTATGTCTTGCATTGGCTTTCCCTTCTGCACCTGACGGCTTACATGATTTGGTTTGGTTTTATAGTTTGGTTTTCCTTTTCTTCTTTTATTTAATAATACACATCATTTAGTTGCAATTTTTTCCTTATTTTATTTTTTAAAGATTTTATTTATTTATTCATGTGAGACACAGAGAGAGAGAGAGGCAGAGGGAGAATCAGGCTCCTTGGGGGGAGCCTGATGCGGGACTTGATCCCGAGGCCCAGTATCACGCCCTGAGCTGAAGGCAGGTGCTCGACCGCTGAGCCACCCGACATCCCTTTTTTCCCTTGTTTTATTTTATTTTATTTTTTAATTTTTTAAAAAAAAACATTTATTTATTTATTTATTTATTTATTTATTTATTTATTTATTTATTCAGAGAGAGCGAAAGGGAGGCAAAGACACAGGCAGAGAGAGAAGCAGGCTCCATTCAGGGAGCCCGACACGAGACTCGATCCCGGGTCTCCAGGATCACACCCCAGGCTGAAGGCGGCGCTAACCGCTGTGCCACCGGGGCTGCCCTTTTCCCTTGTTTTAAAAGTAAAATATAATTCTACTATAAAACATTAAGATAGTACCAAAAAGTCTAATGGCAAAAGTAAATATATATATATATAATAGTTACTACCACCAAAAGAAGGCACACTTAACAGTTTTTATAAACATCATAGATGGAAAATATCAATTGGGTATACAACATATATTCATACACAATTTATATTGTATATGCATGGATCATAAACTGACATTGTATATTATAATATTTATATAAATGAGAATTTTAATTATGTTAGACTTTTTTTACACAGTATGCATATTGTATCGGTCAGTGTCAAAACATGTACATTATTATTTTGAATAGTATTCCACTATATCCTCATTTTTAAATCAATACTGTTTAGTATTTTCTGCCACTTTTCGCTCTAATAAATAACTCTGAAGTTAACTTTCTCGAGCATGTATCCTTTACCATTTCTGTATTTTCTCAGGATAAATTCCTAGATGTGTATTTGCTGGATCTTAGTTGGTGCTTTTTTATATCCTTTTTGAAGGCGTATAGAAATTGATCATGAGTGGAAAGCCCAGGAATCTGCACCTGGTCGCCTAGTAGAGCGTTGTCTGTGCGTGGCCTACCTTGGCTCCAATTATGTGGTATTTATCCACACCTCTGAGCAAGGTTATAAAAGCCTGGAAACATGTTAGCATAAAATCCATGTGCAGCACTATTGTAGTTGTGGAAGTTAGATACCTTATCATTGCAGATTGACCTGGTGTGGTGTTCTCAGCTGATAACTGTGATTTTAATTGTTAAATTGATTTTAAATTATCTTCCTCATAGTTTCAACATGCGGCACATCTCTGGGCCTGGCTCTGTTGTCTGCTTTATCTCTTGAGTCCCTTTGTTGTTGTTTTTAATTTTTTTTTTTTAAGTGTCATAATTTTTTGAACTCCAGATAGTCATGTTTAAAGGAACAGTAGAGGCTGAATTAAATAATGTTTAACCTCAAAAACAGTAATGTCTCTATCAGGTCATTAGTGGGGGGATTTAGTAGTCAAGCTTGGTTCGGATTTTGTTTTGCTGTAGTTGACTTCAGTGCACCCGTGACATCAAAAACTTCAGCCAATCTTCCTGCCTTATGCCTCAGGTGTGGCCTGGTGTGGCTGGGCTGGTCGTCTCAGCTGTTATTCAGGGAGCAGGTTGACAATGGGGAAATGGTTCTTCTAGGCCAGCCTTCCTCTTAGCCCTGTGCACATGGGCCTGAGGGCTGCGCTTTTCTCAGAGCTACTGACTCTCTCCTTCCCAAGACAGTCAAACTTCCTTCCATGGTTGGGTGGTCTCCCCTTTTTAGGGGGAGCATTCCCTTCCCCTTCCTCAGGGGGACAGCTGTCTCCACGTGTCACTGCATGATTCTGTGACAAAGCTGATTCCCTGCCTCCCCGCTAACTACAGATGGCCCTTGCTCTGCTCATCCTCAGCAGCAGTGTATCTGGCCTGAGCCAGGGGCAAAGACTTCCTGCCCTCCCCGGTGGCAGCCTGTGCCTGTCGCTGCACGGTGCAAGACTTCCTGTGTGTGCAGGAGGTTTCCTCTTATTCCTTTGGGCACAGAGGGCTTTTTGTTTGTACCTCTCCCTCGGCTACAGACAGGTGCCATCACACCAAGGGTGGCTCTTTCGGTCCCCTACCAGGACGCAGCTGGTGTATACTCGTGGAAAAGAGCTTTTACCCGTGGGCCCATGCTCTACTCGAGTCTGGGACTCCGGGAAGTGTAGACCGTTACACCAACCACGCTCAGTATTTAGAAGTTTGTGGAAAATTGTAGCTGCTTCCTTCCTACCTGTTTCCCTGGTAGCCATCTCTTCTGCTTTTATTGTGCCACAGGCCAAATAATTTGTGTGTCTGTCTGGCCACATGGAGGGGCTTGTTACTCTTTGGTATTTAGCTCACCCGGCTGCCTGCAACCTCAGGTCTTTCATGGGCTCGAGAGAATTTATGATTTTTGTAAATAATCTCACTTTTCTCTCCATGTTAGGACAGGAGCTCTAGCTTTTGCTTTTAGCTTTTGTAGCCTAAGTAGATGCAGAACTCACTGTTTCTTTTTTAACATGATTAAGTCCGTATTGTTTTTTAACTTTTTTCTTTGAATTCCTAGTATAAGCTTTACAATAATTCCATTCAGCTATTTTACACTCATTATTAACCTTAGGTCACTTTAGTCCACTTGATAATTCTCATAAGCAATTGCCTTGTTAGCAGTGTATAGGTAGTTGTCACTAAGTTGAACCTGTGACCACACCGTGTTTTTATGCCATTGATGTTTGCTTATGACGTTCCGATCATTGTGATAGTGATGACCTGGAAGCATGCGGCTGATGTTTAGTATCAGGTCTTATTTATTGTTTGTTTTAGGAAGTTCTTTCTAACTAGGGGAATTTTCTTAATATCACTTCAATTGTTAGTTTGAACATTATTTTTATATTAGAATTTTGGTTGCAAGTGACAGAAGCCCAACTCAAGTGAGCTTGAGTAATTATTTCATAGAAAAATATGGGTATCTTACCTGAAGATAATGTAGCTGGCGTCTAGCAGAATTGGAAGCAAAGACTAAATGCTTTGAGGACTCTGCATTCTTTCTCTCCCTGAAATCCGCTGCACTCTTCCCTTCTGCAGACAGGACTCCCTTGGCTTCTCTGCTGCCCATGCTGGCTGACATTCCCATGGACAGTTCCCATGTTAGATCTCCTAGTACCATTGGGAAAGTGATTTCTCTGCATCCCAGATCCATAAATTCATCAGGAGAATGCTGATGAATCCAGGTACTGGATACTGATGGATCTGGCTTGACTCAGGTGTCCATTTCTGACTCAACCATGTCAAGGCATGGCCTAAGGCCCTCTGTTGGCAGGCAGTCATGGTCTACAGAGCAAATGATCTTAGGTAACCAGTTGGGTTGGGGGCTGAAGGGGCCTGTGAGGGTCAAGAGTTAGAAATAAGGATCTAATAAAATTTTCTTAAACTAGGTTGATTATAATGAGTACTCTTGGAAAGTAAATCTAACTCTAGAATGTAAATGTGATACGAGCCTGTGTCCTGAGCTGTAAAGGTCCGTATGGCAGTTGTTATGGTGCCTAAAAGTGTTCATGACACTGGTGGACACTTACTATTTTCTTAACTTAATATAAAGGGTACTTAACAATAAATACAACATTTCTTGGGGCTCAGTGATCACCACATTTTGCTACTTAATAAAAATAAATAAGAATAAACTAAAAATGGTTATTTTTATGCATATTGTTTTCTAAATTGAATAGATTTAATAAGACCCCCCCAAAAGCATACTTAATTTGATTCAGGGTTCTCATTGGGGCTACTCCTGCATTTCATTTGGGTCTTAACCTTTGAGATTTTTTATGTGGTTGCAGTTTCATTATAGAAAGTGATTTAGAATCCACTTTATGAGCCATGCAGCTGAAAAGATTTTAGATATGATGGCTTCTGGGCATGACAGTTGTACACCTTTCACTGGGGTTGAACCTCCCTAAGCTAAATTATGGAGTACTTACAGGCACACATTTTTCCTGTCAAGAACTATGGGGCATGGAAAATGCATTTATGATTGATAGTAGGGCATACAGAGTTTAAAACCCACATTTTTAAAGTTAGACTGGTTAACCTTGTACAATACTATAACATGGTGCTTTGGAATTAGAAGCACAGTGCAGTAACATTTGCTGCCAAAAGAGCCATATTTATTAACTCAACAAAGCTAGAAGGAGATGGATTTGAAAAGCGGAACACAGTATTTCATCTTGAGAATCATTTTTGATCTTCATCATCAGAGGTCTCACAAAACCACTTTCTCTCTCTCTCTCTCTCTCTCTCTCTCTTTTGTTTTTACTGGACATGCTAATCAATCCTATAAAAACTGAAAGGTTATAAATTTTTCATCACTGCTTTGTGGCTTTCAAGCTAACCGTAAATATTTATAAATCCCCTCTTCCCAATACATATAAAGGTAAAAAAAAAAACAACTAAAAGAATTGAAAACAATAACATTTTGACTTTTTCTCTTCTCTTTTGATACATGAGATTTTGAAAAAAAAAATTGTTTCATTGTGTATCCCAGAGCAAAGGGGAAGAAGAGACTGTCTTAAACTGTAGAGATCATTTTGGAGTAGATAAACACTTCCCATCCATTGTGGCTAGAGATACAGAATTTGAATGTTAGTGGCTTTGTAGAATTTATAAAGAAAAAAAAACAAAAAACAAAACAAAACTGTAAGCAATTTAAATTTAGACTCATCCCATCCAGAGCCTTTGAATCTGAGAGAAAGCTGAAACACTAGACTGTTCCATGAATAAAAGTACTTTATCTGACAAGAAAGGAAGAACAGGGTATGTTTTCTTGAGCTTATTGTCGGGCCCTATTATTTCTCTGGGAATTTATTTTATTTGTGGTTTGAAAAACTTATTGTAAAATCTTCTAGTTTTATAAGGATACAAAAACATAACAGAAAAAAGATACCATGTTGGCTACATTTTTTGCCCTCTGAAAGTGCCTATCTTGACTAACATTTGCTTGCTTATAATCCAAAAAGTGAAATGAAGGAACGAAAATTAGGTGCACGATATACTTTCTGCCACTCAAAACTGGGTTTGATGTTGTTTCAGGATTCATTTCGGTATGAAAGGCTCCATCATGATTAATCCACTTGAATACAAAAATAAAAATGGAGTTTCTCCTGTTTTGGAAATACAGCTCACCAAAGATCTGATTTGTTTCTTTGACTCATCGGTAGAACTCAGGTAAAAAATAAGATAAGATAAGATAAGATAAGATAAGATAAGATAAGATAAAATGAAATAGAATAAATAAAATAAATAAAATAATAAAATAAAATAAAATAAAATAAAATAGTTCTGCAGCTGAAAAGCTATAGAGGTGGATCTGCAGTTTGGTTTGAAATGTGGAGAGAGAGAGAGAGAGAGAGAGATGTTTTAAAAATGATTTCTAACTGATAAAACCTCATTTTGAGAGAGCCTTTGGATAATTTAGTTTGTTAGGGTCTTCATTGTTAGGCTATATAATTCATACCCTGATTAACAGAAAGTGTTTCTATCGAATCTCATTTTAAATGACACTTTGTGAAATTATAACTAGACTGATGATTAATGTGTTTTATATTCCTTGCTACAGAAACTCAGCAGAAAGCCAACAGAGAGTAAGAATGATGGAAGAATTAGATGTATGTTCACCTAAATTTAGTTTCTCAAGAGCCGAAAGTGAAGTGAAAAAGCAGAAAGGACGGATGTTGTGTGATGTGTTAATGGACCAGAGGGTGTTGCCTGGGGTAGGGAACATCATCAAAAACGAAGCTCTCTTCGACAGTGGTCTCCACCCAGCTATTAAAGTAGGTTATAAGTGTTTTTTTAAATGACCTCTCTATTTTTAGATACCTTTGAGGGACCAACGGGAAAACGTAGGTCTGTGTTGGAAACATTCTCCCCAAATGGAGATTTCCAGGATCTTTGTGTTAACTTCTCAACGGGGCCAACACTGACCTCTCCGTTTAAAAATCTCCTCTCACGTCATGTCCTCCATCTCCCATGACTGGCTTTGCTTTGTGTTTTCCCCATACCGAGGATCACCTTCCAACATGACCTGATCTTTACTGGTTATATTCATTATTTAAAATCTATCTCCTCCTGCTCCAATGCAATCTCTTAGGAGCATGGTGTCTGTTTTGTTCACCGAAGTTTCCAAGCATCCAGTGTGCGGTATCTAACCCATGGAAGGCATAAAAGAAATATTTTTTGGATGTACGAATGGAAGTAAGCTCAGAACTTGCTTTTTGTACCTGACATATTAACTTCACACTTAATACGCACTCATGTATTCCTATTTATAGCTCCTTGGACAGCAAATGCTGTTTTGGGGGAATAAGCATGGAAGTTGGATGGCAGGGACTGGGAAATAAGTGACTAGTAGGGAACTGGAAACAATGTGGAACACTTGTAAAACAGCTTTACTGGAATAAAGGGAAAACAGAGGCTGTTGGGGGGTGTCAGGATAAGAACTCGGTATTGTTTTTTTCCCTTGTCCCTCAACTGGAGAGACATAAACTTACTTATATAAGAAAAATAATAATAGAGAGAGAGGTTAAAATTGTAGGAAAGAGGATGGTGATTAATAGGGCAAAGTTGTAAGAATGTCTGAGAGGTTAGGACCCAAAGCCAGGTAGAAGGCCACGTGTATTTCAGTTCCTAAGGAAGGAATCTACTGTAAGGCTTTTAGCTACATCCTACTAATCTCTTTAAACTAAATCATTTTTTACATGAGTCCAAAGATACCTTTTGATTTTGTGTAATTATTTCCTAGTTTTTGTTAAACCCAATCAGTAAGAAATAAGTTTTAAAAGAGACCCATTCATGATTTTCCCAGATAAGATTCTGCTTTTTTGACCCTTGGAACAAGATGGCTACATTTCTATAACGTGGGAGTGATGACACAGAATTTTAATAAGAACAAACTTTTTAAAACCACCTAGACCTCTATGGGAAACATGTTGGGGAATAAAGAACCCATAGTATTGTTACTCTCTGTGATAAACTGCAAATTCATTTTCTATCTGTATATCCAGCAGGCCTTTCATCTAGTAGAAGATCATTTGCCCTAATGTCTGGGAGGTTAGAAATTAAGGAAAGTTCTCAACTTTAGCTATTAGCTCCCTAGAAGTCCATGCACAATTATTGAAAAAGTATAGTTTAACATCTCAGGGTATGACTGAATAGAGTATATAAGATATGGTAAGAAATAACTCCATTTCAAAAGTGCTTATGTTTTAAATTTTAAATAAAAATATATGTAATATTTTCATAATGATTATGGTGATTAGATGACTTCAGGTTTCATAGTCCCTCATAACTTAGTTTCTGCTGTATGTAGATGCCTGTGTACATTCATGTACATAAACAAGACTAAGTCATCAGACAGGAGTTTTTCTGGCATCACCTTTGGAACCACTTGCCAAATGATAATTAATTCTACAAGGGTAACACTGAGATTTATGCCAGGCTCAGCCACAAAAAAATTCTTCAGTAAGGGCTATGTCTGAGTTCTTCCAGGTGTTAACAAGTACTCTGATATTAGTGCTTGTATATAAATTCATATCTTTTTAAAGCTCGATGGTGACCTTGACGGTCATCCATTCTGTGCCGATTTTTCCCTCTCTTCCTTCTTTTTTTTTTTTTTTTTTTCTCAAATCCAGCAAGATTTTTCAAGGTGGTCGATCCCACAATGCTGGGACTTTGAAGATGTCTGATACAGAAGAGATACTCATTTAGAATTACTCGTATTTAGAATTAAAATTTATAAACAAGAATGGTATATATATATTTTTATCTGTAGTGATGTCACTTAAGACCACTGCTAATGACATTAAATAGATGCGTGAGAAATTGAGTTCTAGAAGGTACGCATATATTTTCAATCAGGGTAGTTTTAGAGCGGGCAACTGGTATTATTTTCTTTTTACAGTAACAGATTATGAAACTGTCCTCGTTTTTCTGTTTTCAGGTTTGTCAGTTGACAGATGAACAGACTCATTACCTTGTGAAGATGATACGTGACTTCAGCATTCTTTTTTACAGGGTAAGAGTAAAAATGTTTCTACTATGTCATATGTCAACTGTCTCCCTTTGGATGGGGCCAACAATGTCAAGGCTCTTTGTACCATCTAGTGGTCAGTGTGTAGAGGTGCAGTAAGGGAGGAGGACGTGTGGGTGTAAATCACAGCTAGAGATTTAGTCACGGGTCCATCCAAACTTATCTGACAGTAATTATATTAAATTATCCTTATACTAAGTTGGGTATAACAGTTGCATTAGCATGGTATTTAGATTCTTGTTCTATTTTTGGGCATAGGAAAGTAAAATGTAGGAACTCCATAGAGAGACTCAACCCTTTGGAAAAAACGGGCCTCAACTCAGATTTTGCTGCTTGTTATCTGTGTGGTTTAGATTATTTAGATAATTCAGGCTCAGTTTCTTCATCTATAAAATGAGAAAATGAGATTTATCTACCACAAAGACTTTTGAGAATGAAGTGTAAGTGCTTACCTACCTGTAAATTTTGCAAGTTGTATATATGCATAGACATCAGCATACAGAGTTCCAAAAATACGTTTTCTCTTTTAAACAAAGTATGATAAATATGCCTGTTTTTTTTTCTACACAGTCTGTTTTCTGCATTCAACATTTTTATTTTTACTGTGTTCAGAAAGGCAGGTATGATAGGAGTCTTCATTTATTGGCCTAGAGTGTTAACGAACCTCTTGCTTTACGTGTCTGCCTTGAATATTATGGCTATTTTAATATTCTATATGTTTACTCACTCTTCTAGGGAAAGGTGATTATAAACCACTACTCATTTTTGGCCCAGATTAAGTGTTGGGTATTTTAATACTTTGCTTAAATCAATAGAAGTTGTTTGTGTAATTTTCAACTTATATATGGCGAGTCGTATTTCTGGGCCTTGAGATTTTTACAGTACTGACATAAACCCAAAACATTGTCCTTTTAGAAGCTTTAAATATATATGAGTAGAATAAAACTGTGACAGAGAATATCAAAATATCCTTTGAATTAGAATGTATACCAAATGGAATATGTTCTTTGCTAGGAAGCCATTTGAATTTTTATTTTCTTTGTTAGCAAATTTGTGAGATTAAAAATGGAAAAAGCATCTTTTGTCAGGTCAACAAACAAGAGGATCTCAAGTTTTTCACTGTAGAAATAATTTTTTTGGTTTTGGCTGTTGAAAGAAAGTGAGCAGCTTTCATGTTCTAAAAATAACCAGATTTCAAGCTAATCTAGTCTTTTTCTTATAACCACATAATTATATTTAATTTAAAAAAAAAACCTTAAAAGCATGAAGGACATTTTAGATTGTAGAACTTTTACATCTCATTTAGATAAAAAGATAATGCTATGCAAAGGACAAGTTTGAATACTAGTAAGTTATAAAATAATGTCTTAATTATTTCACATATAAATCTTGTTTGACACATATTGCTGAATCTAGTCAATACCTTTTTCTCAGATGAAAAGATTATATGGACATATGTCCAAACATGTAAATTTCAACAAATTATTTTCAGAAATGACTTTCAGGAATGTATCTTTGGCTCCAAAGCAACACTGTCTGATAGATAATATTATAATGTTTGTTTATTTTTAGTGCCGTAAAACGGGATCTGTTATCTCGAAACACTATAAGGTTTATAAGCGTCCTAACTGTTGTCAGTGCTGTTGCAAAATAACTGTGTGTCGCCTAGGAGAGAATAACAGGATGACATATTTCTGTCCTCGATGTCAAAAAGAAAATCCTCAACATGTTGACATTTGGTGAGTTATCTAATTTAAATGAAAACGATTTGCCCTAGTTCGCGAACTCAAAGGCTATTAATAAAAACATAATTCAAAGGTAGTTAAGCTCTTGGAAGGAAATAGTAAATAACCTCATCCAAAAACCAGGATAAGCTGAAGATGACAGATGGACCACTTCTGGATTCAGTAGAAAATCTCCAGCTCAGATGTTAATATCCAGCATTTCATTTTAATCTCATTTGTAAAGTGATTGGCGAGAGGTGCACGTACATCAGTAGTTGGAAAATGCAACTATCTTCAGAAGTTTTTGCTTCATTTAGAAATAATCTTATAAAACATAAGCAAGATCTCTTTGCAGAATTCATGTCTTTTGGGGGAAATAGTTGACTGCTTACTACACATGTCTATGGTGATTCTTCCAGCTGCTGAGTACGTCTGTTCCAATTACACCTTCCAGAAATAGGGAAATAACCACAGGAAAGGTTCAGGGACCTCCTAAGATGGATCTGAGCTGTAACTCCATTGATCACCTGACCTCCATAAGGCCCTGCTCTGAATGGTGGAACACTGATGTTTTGAGTTTCTTGGAATTAATCTGTTTAGAGCCAGTGTCTAACAGGTCTTATTACTTCCTTTTCCCCGACGCAGTTACCCTGATAAAAGGCCTTACATCCCTTTGGGAAAGGCCAGGACAAATATGAATAATATAAAGGAATATGTGATTATAAGGCAAAATAACCAGTGCAGACAGTGAAGCCTATTAATCCCTGCTACAGGAGTTCAGGGATGTTAGAGGATTATATATACAAAGTTGGAAAGATCTAGAAAAAGTGTGATTTGAAGTTTACTTTAAAAAAGATAGTTAGAATTTTGGCTAAATAAATGAGAAAACAAATATTATTGAATTGGAAAGACAGAGCATGGCCACAAATCCTAACCATTCATAAGCATGGCATTTTGGAGAGATGTTGGTAACACTGGCCAAGCCACAGAAAGGCTTCGAGTTGTTGGATCATAAAAGCTATTTTTATAGGTAGAATGGGATCAAATAGTAGGAATCATTAGTCATTCTGGGAATGGTTGATGTTCTGCCGAAATCAGTAGATTAAGGACTTTTCAGTGGGTGGGACATGGTGAGATTAAACCTCCTAGTGAGGTTTACTGGGCCTGAGGTCAAGACCCTGGAAATGGAAAACAAAATAGGGACTTCAGTTAAAAACTTTAAAAAGTCAACAACAATTGTGACAGATGTGGTATGTAGAATAATGCAGAAAGTTTCAGACTAAATAATAGAAATTTTCACCATATGGGTCTGGGAAAGTTGAGGTCAAGTGGAACAGATGAACTTCATATATGTGAAGCAACAGTGGACTGCCTGAAGAGATGCCACATTACAGGTGGCAGGTGAAGGCTTGATGGTTGTTGAAGTGACATATATTGAAAAGAGGTGCGTTCACAGGGAAAGTGGAGAGGGAGGAACCAAGGTCTGAGCTTTGGGGAATACCCAGAGTAGGAGGGAAAGAGTGAGCCAAGAAAACAGTGATGTGGTTGGGCACAGGTGGCCAAGCAGGGCCGGATGGCGCCGTGGATCCTAGGGTGAGAGGCTGGGGTGATGGGTTGGAGGTGGTCTGCGGAGAGGCCCCCACCCCACCTTCCCCAGTGTGTCTGTGGCTTTCTTTCTGTGCTCCTGGCCCTTGTGATTTCCTTTTCATCTCTTCTCCTTCTCTTGCTCTTAGCTCCTTTTCTCTGAATCTCTTTCAGCCTCTTCTTTACCTCACTGTACTGCCATGGGGATCTGAGATATATTTAGATAATATATTTATGGCACAGATTTGTGGCTTTCTGATTTTTAAGATTATAAGTGTACATTTCTCTGACCAAATGGGTATAACACGTTACCTGGCAGACAGAGGACATTCGATAAATCTTTGTCTAGTGAATAAATTATTAATATCCTATACTTTTTTCTATGAATTGATAGCTTTTGAGGTTAAAAAAAAGTATTTTTCCAAGTCATCAAAGAAATATGTTATTTACCATATAATTAAGGTAATTGTCAATTCCAAAGGTTTTTTGAAACTAGGCTTTAAAAGCTCAGGGGTTCCCTGCAAGAGGTGTGGGAGACCTGTGAGCTAGAGGAGTCCTTACTGCACTGGGAATATTCTGAGCCCTTCAATCCCTCCTCCCTCCTGAGCTACTCCTGATTTATTTTTTTATTTTTTTATTTTTTTTAAAGATTTATTTATTCATGATAGACACATAGAGAGGTGGAGACACAGGCAGAGGGAGAAGCAGACTCCATGCAGGGAACCCGACGTGGGACCCGATCCCGGGACTCCAGGATCGCACCCTGGGCCAAAAGCAGGCGCTAAACCGCTGAGCCACCCAGGGATCCCCTACTCCTGATTTATATATTGAAATTCAGTTCAGCCTAAGACACCATTTGGAAAACCGGTTATACATTGGAAAATAAACATGTACAGAAAACATTTGAATACCGATAGTATTTACCCTATTCTTAGAGATTTCCACAATGAAGTAGATTCCGTTCACTTTCTCCGTGAATTTTTGAACATTTTTTATATTGACTACATTTTCTCATTGGAAGTTACAGTCTTTTCGAATTAAATCGAAGCAATACAAAAAGCCCAGCAGCATTGATTGATCTAAATCCCCATGTTCCTTCAATTGTGCAAAGTTTACTTAGCTTCTTCATGAAGTCCTCCCCAAATTTTGCAGTCTTTACTGACACACCACACTTCCGATAATGTACCATCGTTGGCTCTATATACGAACTAGCATAATGTATACAGGTGCATATTTTTCCCTCGAGGGGAAGCTGTGCTATCATTTCTTTTTCTGTACCAGTCCATATATTATACATTCCTAAAAATTCCTTTGTTACTGCTTTTTTGTTGTTGTTGTTGTTGTTGTTAGTGTCTGCTCTGTGTCAGCTACTGGGAATACGAAGACAAAATGAAATCCCTTCAGAGGTGGGGAGGAAATGAGGAGATGGATCATTAAAACCCCACTAGGTTTGGCAGCGGGCACCGTTGTTCTAGCAGCAATGGAAGTTGAGAGGAGGAAACCCTTAGATCTGCGTGGGAAGAACTAGGAAGGCTTTCTGAGGAAGGTGGCCTTTGAGATCAGTGTGGAAGGACATAGAGATTGATCGAAGACGAGGCAGGAGCGTGCATTAGGAGAGCCCCACGAAGGGGAGGGCATCTTGTTCCTATAAGACGACGCGTTCAGGTCTCTGAGAACCGTCTAGTTTGGGAAGTTATTAAGGATTGGTTGCGAGTGGATGGGAAGTCACTGGTGTTGGCAAGCCCATTCTTCAGGCAGGTCTGAGCTAGCGGAGTGTGTTGAGGGGGACGGAGTGACTGTAGAGCCCTTGGGAGCTCTTGGGAGACAGGAATAAGGAAACCCTTGATAGGACAGCCTTGTTCTGGCAAGAAAGTTGGATTACACCGTTGTCATGTTGAAAAATGTAATTTAAAAGGGTTTCCTTGGAATACAGTGAAAGACACCCAGCTCCCATGATCTCAAGCCAAAGTGGGAATGTGCAGGTCATGCAGCCCAAAGAGGTATTGGTGTAATTCACAGGATTAATTTGAAAAAGCTGCCAGACCTTGAGTCTCAGGACCTGGAACCCAGGAAGGTGACCTTGCCTGGGTTCTCCACAGCTGGAACACTTAGGCAGATCTGAGCTGCTTCCCGCCCAAGCCCCACGACAGCGAATTCCTTCTGGTTTCAGCAGAAGAAACACATTCTGGAGGCTTCCGGAATGTCATGGTGCTCCGGGGGTCAGGGCTCAGATGAGACTGAAATAGCCCAAGTAGCAGCTGGGCAGCAGCCGGGTCGTTCGTTTTACTCAAACCTTCTTTAAACGCTTTCCTTGGTGCCCCTTTCTTTTTGTTTTATTAACAGTTATGTTGCTGCCTTTAAACAATTCTTTCTGTTTTGTGTAGACAGAGAAAAATCCACCGCTTCCCATGGTGGCAACTGGTCTCCTCTGAGAAGTGGTTCCTTAGAGACACTGTCATCGTCCACCTGTGTTTTAGGCCCTTGGCTGCTGAGAGCAGAGCCGCCCTCCCTTGCCCACCGTGGGATCATCCGAGGCGATGGTCCACCATAGTGGTGGTAGCCGTGTGAAGAGAGGCGAGGAAAGTCCAGGAGACAGCCTTGAGGTTCCCTTTTTTTTTTTTTTTTTAAGATTTTATTTATTTATTCATGAGAGACAGAGAGAGAGAGAGAGAGAGGCAGAGACCTAGGCAGAGGGAGAAGCAGGCTCCATGCGGGGAGCCCGACATGGGACTCGATCCTGCGTCTCCAGAATCAGGCCCTGGGCCCAAGGCGGCACCCAACCGCCGAGCCACCTGGGCTGCCCGCCTTGGGGTTCCCTTGACTTAGCTGAGCAGAAGACGGAAGTGAGCCAATGGAAGAGCAGTGGGAAGCATGTGACAGCGACATCCAGGGAGTTCGAGCAGGCGGGCTCGAGGGGTGCCTCCCCCAGCCGGCGCACAGCTCACTCACTCAACTTATATTTGTGGTGTATTCATAGAAGTCTACGTTCTGGTGGGAGGGGATCTTGAAAACATAGCTGTGTGTGTGTCCCTGTGCGTATGAGGTGCCCGGTGACGATGTGTCTGTCATGCCCTGAGGACGCATCCCCCTCCGTAAGGGGACACACAGGGCCAGGGCAGTTCATCTTCGATGGTTTGCGTGGATAAGGCCTCTGAGACTTGAAAAGGTGGAAGAGAAGGTGACTGGAGAAGCATGAAGAAGTTTGTTTTATGGGGAGCAAGAGGGCAAGTGTGGTGAGTGGAGGGCCTGCTTGGTGGGGCAGGGCCTGCTCGGCCCTGATGGGAGGTTCTGGGGTTTATTCCAAGTGTGAAGGGGGTGCCTCTGGGGGGTTTGGCGGGGAGAGAAGAAACGGAGACCTATATTGAAAGGTCGCTTTGGGTAGTGGGGGGTGTGTTGCCTTTAAGGTAGCTGGAAGGTGGTGAGCAGAGGGG